CAAGTTGCTCGGGTTTTTTTCATCTAAAAAAAGCGACATTAATTTCTTGACGACCTAATACTTATTACAAAGTGTCAAACGGTGTGAGCAACAACATAACAACACATGGCAGGAACAGAGACACGGGACAGAAAATGGAAAGTAACAACACATCTCAGGAACACAGATAGTACAGTGGAAAGTAAAATGTGATACAAAACAGTTACGTCCATAGAATAACTATCAAGAACTCCCAGTGGTTGGGTCTACAAACTTATTACTAATATTGTTCACTAGATGGCACCAGCGAAGCTACTTATGTTATAGCTGAACACCGTTCTATTAATGAAAAAGTACGGTAACGTTCTCATAAGTTGGAACTTTACTTACTTGTTGCAAAATATACGCGTATTAAAAAGTTGCAATCAATAATTCATATACTGCAGTCAAACATAAGACATGCAGGTTAAGAAGGGTCACATTATATGGTATTTACACAATCTAGACGGACATATATCGCACTAAATGCGTTCAACTTTGCTGAACAGGCTGAAACGCCCATGTAGTCCAGGCGTAAATAATTGCGTTGAAGTGTTGTTATTGTTATATATTAACACAAAGCCACACAATGGGCTATCTGCGTTCTGTTCACCGTGTAGGATCGAACCTTGGATTTTAGGGTAGGACGTCAGTAAATTTATCACTGGCCCAATGAGGTGTAAAAGCAACAGAGTTAGTGGGTTAATGAAAATTGCTAGAGCAAAAAAAAAGTAAAAAAAAAGGTTTATTTACCACGTGAAATTAATGACTTTGATATTTACTACCTTTTAATAAATCATATTTCGCCAACATTCAATATATATATATATAACAAACATTGTATTATCAGCTTTACCACTGTTTCCGGGAAAGAAAAAGTCATCATGAAAGTAACCAAGACAGGCGTAAATTCCCCAACACTGTGTTGTTTACCTACTTCATTCTCACTCAAATCTACAATAGAAGTAAGCCTTACCATCTAAAGTCGGTCTACATTAAATGTAAACACATCAAGGTGACAAGAGTACATCGCTACACGAGAACAGATCACTTCACT